CAGGAAACAAGTGAAAGAAAACTGCCGAGCAGCCTGGAAGGAAAAGTTAATCGGACATAACAAGTTAAAACAGTTTGCAAGCTTCAAGCCAAACTGCTGAATCTAGCGTCCAAGTTCTCCTTGATAGCGTGACTCTGTGTTGTTGTCCTTCATTCTTCTGTCTCTGTCTGTCAAATCTCAGCGGAATATAAACCAACTATTGTCACGCTCTGCTGGTTGGTGTGCTTGCAAGCAGAGAATTCATTGTCTGTTTTCAATTGCAGAGCTGGGATGCTCGTCGTCTGATGGAGCGCTCTCGAGCTGTGAAGTGTCCAGATATCAGCGCTCACCTGGCTGGTACCAAGAAGGTTCAGCAGGTGCTCGCCAGACCTGGAGTCCTGGAGAGGTTCTTCCCAGACCAGCCTCAAGCTGTGCAGCAGATCCGAGCGGCATTCGCTGACCTCTACACTATACATGTGGAGAAAAAGGACACGATTTTTTCATTGTTTGGAAAATTTGGCATTAGATAATCCTCACCTGGGTTTTGCTATCTAGTGTAGGCAATATCATTCACATTTTATTCCTGTGATTTATTTTCTGTGGTTGCGCTCGTCTACAGGGTCCAGAGATCTATAAAACAGTATCAATGGCCTTGCAGCAGCAGAACGGTTTGTCTCGAAGCCTCAGCGAGAAGAAGGAGGTACAGCGAGGGGACAAAAGCATCTTTAAAAATGTTGGCAATGCAGCAAATGCTGAAACTTCTGTTTGTTTCTCACCATTTGTTAAACTAGGGAAGCTTAAGCAGTGCATGGATCTGCACACACATGCAGCATTTGCTTGCATTCCATGTATGAGCTAGCCTCAGTCAAAACAGTGACGACACAAACATGACTGCCTGCTGTTTTGCATTACTGTGTATCTACTGTGATTCATAGATGCTGTACTGTGACTGAGATAATAGTGTATACGAGACACACTTGACAACAACATTGATTAAGATGTGAAAAAGCTACGGCTGACTAACCACCCTGCCTTACATCACTCTGGGCTAATACTGTAAAAAGCAATAATTAGTTTTCTTTGTAATATCAGATCATTTGTTTTGATAAATACATAGTTCAGTATCAGGGTTCACATGAGCTATTTTAGCAGTAATTTTACACTCCACTATGATAGTATTTCACTGTTAATCATATTAGCAAGGAAGCTAGGGTTTGTAATTCATTCTTAATTTAGCCACGCTGCATGAATTTGGATGATAACACTTTTGAAAATGGCAGTTTAATTTATTGGGCAATTATAAAATCGTATTTCTTAGGCTGGCTTTTAAGGAAGCCTGGGAAGAAAGATGGAGGTGGAAAGGATGTGCAAGCTGTGGGACAAAGTTGCTGAGACTAGGTTAAAAAGAGGTGAGGATCAGTGAGCAGGAGTGTGGCTTTGTGCTGAAAAGAGCACAACAGATTGTCTGGAGAGAAGGTGAAGGAAAGTCAGCTGAAGCAAGACAGTTTGTGGAGTTTGTGTTGGACTGTATGTTATGCTGGGAGCCTGGGGATTAGTGGACTTTGATTCCAAGTTAATACTAGCTAGTGTTTCTCACTGGTTTTTGGGTGGTGGAGTAAAAGGGATTGGTTGGTGGCTGTTTCTAATGTTAGCCTTGTCTTGGTTTTCTTACAGGCAGGGTAAAGACATGGTGATGAATGAGTGTGTGGGCCGTCTGCTGAGGACCAAGAGCTCAGGACAGTCAGACGGGGGCGTCGCAGCAGGAGTCACCGTGCTCGACAACCCTCTGCTGTTCTGAGATGTCACACTCCTGCCTGCACATACAAACCACAGTGAAGTCAGAGTTCCACCTGCACCTCCACCTGTTCTTGCAACAGCATGAAAACTGACAGAGGTGAGACAGCAGAAAAGTTCTTGTTTTTTTTTTTTACTAAGTTAAGGAATTAAGTTAAGAAGAGTGATTAAATAAATAGTTTCTTGCATTTTTGATTTAATGATTGTGTTTAGGATTATTTCAGAAACATGTTTAGAGGATCTTTGTAAGCCTGTATTTACTTTAAAAGAAGGGAAGCACTTCTTCATCCTACAGAAAAGGTGACACATTACAGATGAGTTCATAAAAAGTGTCTCTGTCACTCTTTCAAGGCTCTGTCACTTTTTCTTTTTGACTGGAACAGCATGGTAAAGTAGGCCTAGGCTGCCATCTTGTGGCAGTGTGTTGTTACTACAACATATGAAATTGTGTTTCTATTGGAAATATAATTCAGCACCACTGAGCCGCTCTCTCAGTTACAAACTGAACCTGTTTTGTAGACGTATAAATCACTAAACACAGTGAAGCTTTTGGTTTTGTAAAAGTGTTTCTTATTCAAAATGCATGTTGATTTTTATCAGGGTGAAGAGCAGTTAGCAGTGCATTCATGGACATCTTTAAACTATTAATTGAAGAATCTTTGGTCATGATGGCATGAACTAGAAACGTGAGCTCCAGGTGAGACTGCACAGAAGAACAAGTGTCCTTAAACTGCATCAACTGATGACGTCTTACAATTTTATTCTACTGTGTGTTTTTATCATTGAACGTTTATGTCTTTGTGTACACATACGAACACAAGCTACTGTAACCTAGAGAAGCTCAGCAATATTTAAGTACACAAACAGTTCCAGGTGCTGGACTGTTTGAAGACCCCACTTTGGATCATGTGAAGGACATTTCGTTTTTTGTTACAGGCATTGAAGGGTTAATGCTGTTAATTGCATAGTGCAGTGATAGATAACGTGGTAGAGCTGGTCCAGCTTGTGAACCAAAGAATAATATCTAGTATGCTGTGAATGAAAAAAATAAATGGTATGACTGTTCATTTACCAAACCCTAACCTGTGAGATCAGGCTCACATCTCTGATCATAGAAATGGGGAACTTTTCAGGAAATGTACTTCAAAAAATAAAAACAAGAGTAAGATGGGAAAGTCAGAAGGAAATAAGACACTTTCTCAATTGTGAGAAATTCTGTGAGAATTTTAGCTGGATTGTCTGTGGTATAACTGGCATGTAACAAGAGGAGTCACCCACTGCTGCCCATTACAAAGGAAGAGGTTTTAGGACTTCCAAACCATCTTCACTGTTCCCATCAGGAGGCATCTATTTCTTTGTTACACCCTATGCTTTGAGAAATACACTATTGTCACACCACAGTGAGCCAGTTGCATGAACAGCAGCCTAATCAGACTTCTGCAGAGTCTCAAAGTTCTTTTGGATTCTGCTTCTTGTGTCCAACAGGAAGAATTCTGTCCATAAACAAAGGATTTTAAAATGTACCATTTTTTTCTTTTTACTTTTGTACAGTAACCTAAAATTATTATTGCCTCAAAAGGATTTATCCTCTGATCTATGGGTTTTTTGTTTTTTAAATGTTGTTCTAAGCGGCCAACGAATTGTTAATGCATGATTAAAGTGAATTGTTAATTTCTGGTTTTACTATAAACAGACTGGGGACGCTTGTGTTTTCTTTCTTCCTCAAATGATCAGATAAGACTTGAGTAAAAGAAATAATGCAAAGGCATTTTGCTGTGTTCACAGAGGGTCTTGAGGGTCTGTGTAAACGGAAAGATCTTGGCGATGGGGCATAAATTTGGGCACCACAAAAAAGAAATGAAATCAATATTTAGTAGATCCGCCTTTTGCAGAAATTACAGCCTCTAAACGCTTCCTGTAGGTTCCAATGAGAGTCTGGATTGTGGTTGAAGGTATTTTGGACCATTCCTCTTTACAAAACATCTCTAGTTCATTCAGGTTTGATGGCTTCCAAGCATGGACAGCTCTCTTTAACTCACACCACAGATTTTCAATAATATTCAGGTCTGGGGGCTGAGATGGCCATTCCAGAACGTTGTTCTTGTTCCTCTGCATGAATGCCTTAGTGGACTTTGAGCAGTGTTTCGGGTCGTTGTCTTCTTGAAACATCCAGCCCCAGCGCAGCTTCAGCTTTCTCACTGATTCCTGGACACTGGTCTCCAGAATCTGCTGATACTGAGTGGAATCCATGTGTCCCTCAACTTTGACAAGATTCCCAGTACCTCCACTGGCCACATAGCCCACAGCATGATGGAACCACCACCATATTTCACTGTAGGTAGCAGGTGTTTTTCTTGGAATGCTGTGTTCTTTTTCCTCCATGCATGACGCCCCTTGTTATGCCCAAATAACTCAATTTTCGTTTCATCAGTCCACAGCACCTTATTCCAGAATGAAGCTGCCTGTCCAAATGTGCTTTAGCATACCTCAAGCGGCTCTGTTTGTGCTGTGGGCGGAGAAAAGGCTTCCTCTGCATCACTCTCGCATACAGCATCTCCTTGTGTAAAGTGCGCCGAATGGTTGAACGATGCACAGTGACTCCATCTGCTGCAAGATGATGTTGTAGGTCTTTGGTGACAAGGACCCCGTGGAGCGAGGCGTCCTCAACCTCTCCACAGCACAGGTGGAATACAGCGAAGACCAGCAGGCCATGCTTAAGGTACGGATGGATGTAACACACTTGTCTACAAGACTTAAAAACAGTTTCTACCATCAAGCCATACGACACCTCAACCACAACACTTAAACACACACAACACATTCCACAGGACGCACTCAGAAGCTACCCTGCAGCTTCACAAGCACACTGTATAATCTGCACTGGTCACTTCCCTTTATTGGTATTTATATTGAAAAAAAAAAGTGCAATACTGTAATAACTGCCACTACAAATTTTGTACTGTTCACTTTATACTGCTGCTCATTCCTGCCACTGCGCAATATCCCATTTACCCCTGGCTGTACGCTTTTAATCCTCTGCTAGCAGGAACAAGAAGGTACACACACACAGACACACACACACACACACGCTCCTCACACCACAGTCAAATGTGCAGCTTCTGCAACCTTCAAAAACATTCCCTTCTCCTCACAACGTAAAACTCTCCCCGCAGATCTAAGCTGGCGAGGCGACGCAGCGGCCTGATGAAGAACTGAGCTTGCGGAGCGGTATGCGGGAAAACCACCACTTCCATCCTTTCTGAAAAGCCTTTGAAAATACCGAAAATACCAAGTGTTAAAACTTATTAATCATTGTGATTCTTGACAGTTTGCTCTTGTAAGTAGACTTGTGGCTTAAGTCTCTTTTCATGCGACTAAAACGTTGAAGTTCCACAGAACTTTTGCCTCCCCGCTTCCCTCCAGCAACCCCGCTGCCAACTTAGCTTTCCTCCTCTCTATTCCCTCCCCTCAGCTTTTTGTGTTTTTGTTTCCATGACAATGTTTGGGTCTAATTTTGTTCTGCTTCGTTGTCATTCCCAAACTCCCCTAAGTAGCATGTTGTAGTAGTCTACTTGTGTGTGCACGACTCTCCAGGAACTTTCCGTTTGCCAATCATCTGTACAAAAAAATGTCGCTATCAGTTTTATTTGTCTCCTGAAATGAGTTTCATTCTATTTTGGGGGTTTTTTTGTTGTTGGTTTTTTATTAAATTAACATGCTTGCATGATACCTGCAGCAGTCCTTGGGAGAAGACCAGGTTTGCTCAGTTTAAAACAAAAAACAAAAATTAACCAAATCAGCCAGCTTACATTTGAAACCATGAAGGAAAAATCTACAGATCTCTCCAAGTGACGTGTTAGTTTATGCTCTGCTACCTAAACTATAGCTGCTAATAGATTTATAGGTTATTTTTCTTCTCGCAGTGACATTTGCATCAGGCTGAAACAGGCTCTGAAAAAAAAAAAAAATCAAAGTGGGAATGAAATTTGACAGGAGGGCCACGCCCGATTTCCACGGTTATCCACGTTATACTTAGATCCTCCTCAATCTGTGTACATATGGCACCACTAAACCCCCGATAGTGCCAGTGTCAGTTAGTGAGTCAGTAAAATACTCATGCATTTGTGTTAACATAAAAACTGCAGACTAACTAGAGACAAACAAGCGAGGATCGCTTCATATCTCAGCAGTTTAAAAAGAAAATAAAAAATGACTGATTGTTCCTGCAGGAGTAGATTCGGGCCCCTTTTTGCTTTTTCATCCCAAGGAGTAAAAACAGGGTTACGAGGAGAGGAGGAGGACTAGGATGAAAACGAACTAGACGGAGAACTTGATTTGTACATGCGGTCTGTTCTGGGATCAGTGTGGTAGTTAACCCTCATTTAACACATTCCTCTCTGCTCGTCTAGCTTGCTCTAACTCACATTTATTTCTTTATTTTTTAACCTTATTTTGCACATTAACACATATCTATAGCAAGGACAGAGACAGAGCCACATATGTTGAGTCCAGGATTGTATTTGAGCATCAGGAACAAATGATAAGAGAACATATCAGGAGTACACTGGATGGCTGTTTCTCAAAGGGTTTAATAGAAGGAAAGAAGTTAAAGGGACTACATATTTAAAGGTCCAATTTCTGATACTACCCTATGAAAATATTTGCTCTGTGTGCCCTGCTGCAGCTGCTACATTTGGCTCCAGATTCACTTTTTGGCTCCTACGCCTCTCGAGATGTGTTAATGTAGACAGGCATTAAAAAACTCTGGTCAACCAACCAGCAGTATGCCTGCTATGTCGTATGAAATGCGTGGAAGGAGAGGAACCGACTGTCTGTTACATATAGATAGAAAACAAAGATCTGACGTGACCTCGGGTCAGCCAGCCTGACGGTCAGAGAAACGGAAACGTGCTGGATTGTGGATCTCTGAGCTGCACATCAAAGGTGCACCTATGCACAGATCAAATCTCAAAAGTGCAATGTACCTCATATACATGTTGATGCGAAGCGCCGCCAGAGCAAACTTTTCCACTTCATTTGCAGAGGTGTTTTTATTTTGGAATGTGTATTTATTGTTTGCAGTGTATGTATGTGTGTATATATGTATATATTAGGGGTGCAACGATACTCGTATCGATATTGAACCGTTCGATACAGTGCTTTCGGTTCGGTACACATATGTATCGAACAATACAACATTTGTAATTTATTTTATCAACTTTCCTTCTGACGATGCTGTCTGTGTTGAGCGCTCAGTGAATCTGCGTTCGACTACTCCGCCTAGGCTGCACTGTCGAGCGCAGATCCACTGAGCGCTCAACACAGACAGCATCGTCAGAAGGAAGAGCGCAGGGCAAGCTAGCGAGACAGAAGTTAAGCTCTCCTTGCAACATGGCAAATTGAACCTCCCCCACCCTCATTCAGATCTGGCGTTTGGAATTATTTTGGTTTTCATGTGACGTATGACCCTGAAGGTAAGCGCGTCATGGACTAAAGTAAAACAGTATGTTGGATGTGCCACGCAATGCTCAATTACATGGGTGGGAACTAGTGTGTTAGCGCAGTTAGCTCGTTAACTGTTGGCCGTCTAGCACGGGCGATGGTAGCTCGTTAACGGAGATTTGCCGTGTTGTGGCGTTAACGTCATTTCAACGAGATTAACGCTGACAGCACTAGTGGGAACACAACGAATATGACTGCACATTTACGCCGACATCATCCTAGTGCAAAGACAAGTGGAAGCAGACAAAAACAACAAGCATGCATGCTACAAACTTTACCCGAGTCATTTAGACAGCCGTTAGCACATGATTCTCCTTATGGGGACCTGATATGTTTAATATTGTGGCGAGCTCAGACAAGGAGGAGACGGAGGTATCGTTTGGTCTTGCTTCCCGTGAGCTAGCCAGGGAGCACAGCCGTTTATTGACATCTGCAGAAGAACACTGCCGCTAGCTAACTGCTCAGCGCGGCAACCGCACAGCAACAACAACAACACACAGGGCGCCCTCTGACCCCGGAAGGACACACCGTCGCAGCGAGAGGGCGTCACCCGTCACTATGGCAACATAAACAAAACATAACTGTACAAACAGAACCCCGAACAGCCCTGACCCGCTACATAGCCCCCACCTAAGGGGTCAGTCGTCCCCGACGACCCCATTACCCCACACAAAGTCCTGCAAATGTCCAGGTGCCTTCTTTTGGCGCACCGGCCGGTCACGACCGGCGGGGGAAAAGTCACTCGGGTCAGAACATGGGGTGCCACCATCATCCCACTTCTGACACCAATGTGGCGAGCTCAGACAAGGAGGAGACGGAGGTGTCGTTTGGTCTTGCTTCCCGTGAGCTAGCCAGGGAGCACAGCCGTTTATTGCATCTGCCAAAAAGTGATTGTCTGCCAAAAACTGATTTCCGGTATTTGCCAAAAAGCGATTGCTCATATTTAAAGTGCTATAAGTAACTTGTTGGGCTATAATATGTTAAACATATGTCAAATGCATCCCTTATGGATGACATAAAGTCATCTTGAGCCACAAACAACATTCGTGTAACAAGATACAAGCCGCAATCAGTTTTTGGCAGCGACTTTTATATAACCTTTATTTATGCAATAAAAAAAATCTCATTAACATTAAAAATGTATTTTGTAAGAGTAAGTTGCCCAACAGGACAGCAGAAATGGCAGCAAATATTACAATAGTTCTGTAAAAATATTTTAAGTGGGGATAAAGGACCGGATTGGTTATAATGTAAGTACAAGTTGTAAAGATACTTAAAAACAGATAATTTTTTAATTCTTTATGTAACCCCTTTGTATCCCCTGTTCACCGAAGTCTATTTACGAACATACGTAAAGATATTACACATAAAAAATACACAGAAACACTGGAAATCAGTTTTTGGCAGACAATCACTTTTTGGCACAACAGTTCATTGACATCTGCAGAAGATCACTGCCGCTAGCTAACTGCTCAGCGCGGCAACCGCATAGCAACAACAACAACACACAGGGCGCCCTCTGACCCCGGAAGGACACACCGTCGCAGCGATAGGGCTTCACCCGTCACTATGGCAACATAAACAAAACATAACTGTACAAACAGAACCCCGAACAGCCCTGACCCGCTACATAGCACTCACCTAAGGGGTCAGTCGTCCCCGACGACCCCATTACCCCACACAAAGTCCTGCAAATGTCCAGGTGCCTTCTTTTGGCGCACCGGCGGGGGAAAAGTCACTCGGTTAAGAACATGGGGTGCCACCATCATCCCACTTCTGACACCAATGTGGCGAGCTCAGACAAGGAGGAGACGGAGGTGTCGTTTGGTCTTGCTTCCCGTGAGCTAGCCAGGGAGCACAGCCGTTGTTGTGCCAAAAAGTGATTGTCTGCCAAAAACTGATTTCCGGTATTTGCCAAAAAGCGATGCTCG